TGGAGTAATATAATAGAAATAAGTGGATAGTTTCTGTGGCCATGCAAAGAATCCAGAAGGTTCTGTGATTAGGAGTAAGCTGCAGAAAGTTGCCAGGGGTCTGCACTGACCCCACACAGCCCCAGTCAGAGCCCTCCTGCATGAGGCTGTAAAAATGACAGCACAAGGGCTGGGATGATTCACCATGGCCCTGCTGACCTTGGCCTGGGGAAACCTGTGCTGCAGGGAGTTGACCTGTGCATCTGAAGAGGCTGAACGGCAGCCTTGGCCTTCCCCTCTGTGGATGCTGGGAGCACCAGGTCCCTCCTTCCTTCATGGCAAACAAACTCTCCAGATACTTCCTACGGAGAACTGACACACCTGCTAAAGGACCACCCCCGCCCCACCCACTGCATGAGAAGGACCAACTCTGGGGTATGGGCAAGGTGATGGCTCACGGCTAAGGCTAAGGTACCGGAAAGGGATCTTTTGCATCTTGAACTTGACTAAAAGACTGCAGGGGGTGAAATGGAGCCTTGGCACCCAGAACAAAAGCAGCAGAGGTTGGTTAGGAAGTTGCTTTGTGCTGATCCAGCCATGAGACCCCATAGGGTTCTTGGTCCCTGGGCTTCAGCTGAGCGCACCCGAAGGAGCCTGTTCTAAGCCCAGCAGTAGGCCAGGGGTCCACCCAGTGCCCTGGAGCTCTGTACTGTGGCTGCTCCGGTGTGCTCCTTTGCCGTTCTTTGTATACAGGACCTTGGGAGAGCACTGGCAAGCTAGCTTCTCAGTATGTGTTTAAAGTAGGAATAAGGAATCTAACATGCAGATCTCTGTCTGTTATGCCCCCCTGGGAGGGTGGAGAGGACCCTTTTGTGACCTGTTATATGGTCAGGACACTTCTTTGAAAGGGGCAAGGATCTGTTTTGTAATGACTACAAAGGACCTTGAAGAAAGCTAATTGCCAAAGCAACAGACAAATGCCTTGTGTTGTGGGCAGGTGGTAGCCATGTGTCTCTGAAAACCTGTCTACTCCTCTGGAAGCAGTGGCCATGGGAGGAACAGCAGTGCCCCCAGGGGTGGTGGAGGGACCTTGGTGTCTGCCTCTGACAGTGGTCTTGGGACATGTGACAACATGGGGCAGGGAACACAGGTGGGATTGGCCCTGGGGAAGCAGGACCTCCTGAGGGACAAGGACCCACCAGAGTGGGCCTAGGCCTTCTCTTCATGCCCTGCCTTTGGGGCCCCCTGGCATGTTTCTCATTTCTTTGAGAATCTAACACTTTGGGGAACGCAGGGACAGACCCAAACAAGGCCCGGCACCTTGCCATGGGGGTGCACCCATCTCCCCACTATCTTGTCTATTGAACTCAGCCTTCACCTGCAGGAAGGTGGAACTGGCCAATCAACATGGTTCTGCTTTGATTACATAGCAAGAAACCATTATAGGTTTTTAAAACACGATTGTTGAATAATCATAGTTAATAGAAATCTAAGCAGAAGTGTTTTTAGAGTAAAAACAGACTGAAAAGCTATTTGAAAGGAAGAGTTAGAGAATGACAGAGCTTAGATCTGCTGGTTCACTCTCTGAATGGCTGCGCTGGTGGAGACTGGACCAGCCTGAAGCCAGGAACCAGGATCTCTATCTAGATCTCTCACATGGATGGCAGGAGCCTGAGCACTTGGGCCATTTCCCATTGGGTGCATTAGCAGGGAGCTGGATCCGAAATAGAGCAGCTGAGATTTACACCCATGGAATGTTGGCACCATGGGGGGCAGCTTATCCCTCTGCACCACAGTGCAGACCCCCCTGGATTTTCATCTTGATTATACTTTGTTCAAAAGTAAGTATTTTCAAGAAGGTGTTGTCTTGATTCAAAACTAAAAATGAATCAAGGATTATGATCTTTCCAAGAAAGAGGCCTGGTATGTGTGTGTGTGTGTACATGTGCCTAAACATATGCCAGGCCCCATAAGAGGTTCTTTGTTGCTTGCTGGCATAAACGGGCCTGGACTCCCAGTGTCAGAGATGACGCCTCACCAGGGGCGAGGTTACGAAGATGGGTGGGAGGTCTCTGTCATCAACATAAACAGAATCTGTCCTGATTTGCAACTTGGCTCACCAAGATTTTTTTTTAGCACTAGAGGTCTGCTCCCTCTTAAGGGCACCAGGCACCTTCTTTTTTCTGTGCATTTTTCTGTGCCACCTTAGTTGCAGGGTAGGGTGTAGTCTTGTTCAGACAACAGCCTTCACCCTCAATCTGACGAGCTCTAGTCAGGGGTTCCCCAACCCGGCTAAGCTTGGAATTCCCTGGTGAGCTTCCACAAGGCAGAACTCCGGGCTGCCCTGCAGACTGCTCCCATCAGGAATGCTTGGGCTGGACTTGACGCTGCTGCTTAAACTCCAGAGTACAGCCGAGCCATGAAGCCAGGGTTGTAGCAGGAGCCACTTGAAGTCCATGGCGAGGCCCCATGCTCCATTTGGGTGCTGATGGTAGGGAAGCCGGAACTGCTCCCACCTTCCCTAGACTCCAGAGCTTGTGGCTGGCTGGCTGCTGGACTGTGCCCAGCTGGGGAAAATCCACAGCTTGGGCCCTTCCTGGAGCTCCTCCCTTAGCATCTCTGGGGAGACTGTCCCTCACCAGGAGAGTGAGGGACCTTGGCTCCCGTTATCGATCTTGAGGTTCCAGAAGGAAGTGTGATCCTAATAGTGACAGTAAGGAGGAACGGAGTACAAACATCGGAGGTCAGTGCCTCTCCAATCATCCTTGGTTGTCTCAAACTTCTTGGCTGTCCAGGATTGTAGCAAGAAACCTGCAATGGGGCTTATGGGATGCTTTGGGGACTGTGACAGTGCATGGACACAGGGCATTTGCTGGGCTATTGGGAGAGTTGTGAGGCCAGTGCACACAGACCTTGGCATGGCAGCTGGAACCTTCAATTCTCTGAAGGCCTCTACCTGGCTCCTCAGACCAGCCTACTTTTGCATTTTGGGAAGAGCATGTCTGAGGCCTGTGGTTGGCACCTGGAAGGTGGAGCTGGCAAAGATAGACAGAAGGCCACTGAGTGTGTGGGGCTGTGGTCAGTGCTGGTCAGCTACCACCCTTGTTGGTTGGTGAGTGGCCACAGGAGGGCAGTAGAGCCCAAGGTTCTTTGGCCAAACCTTTGACAACCACAAGGTACATCTAAGTTAAAAATGACTTGGGCCCCTTTGCAGTCTGCATAAAGACATTGGTTACCACCTTAATAAAGTCATCTGCAAAACAGGACCATCTCAGTGACACAAAACTTAAGGTCACACTGGATAGATACCAAGGTGGAATCAATCATGAGTAAGGCTTAACAAAAATGCTTACAGAGACAGTGAGGGGGGAATGCTCGTCTTACATAAAATGTGTAAGGAATGTAATGTGATAAACTTGTGCTTTGGAAAAATACAGGCATTTTCAGGTGAATTTCATCTTCACAGCAGTGGAGCTGGGACTGGCCTTGTGGCATAGTGGGTGCGGTTGCTAGCTGCAATGCCAGTACTTCATATGGGTGCTGCTTTGAATCCTGGCTGCTCCATTTCTGATCCAGCTCCCTGCAATAGCCTGGAAAAACAGCAGAAGATGGCCTAAGGATTTGTGCCCCTACAGCCACATGGGGAAGCTCCTGGCTGCAGTGTGGCACAGCCCTGGTCACTGGGGACTGTTTGGACAGTGACCAGTGGATGAAAGATCCATCTTACTCTCTGAGATAAACCTTAAAGCAAAACAATGGGGCTGTGAAAACTGTTTTTGCCTCATCCCTTGGTCCTTAGTCTCTTCCCCTGCATGATACTGGAATTGGAATCTTGAGGGACAGTCAGAGGAGAGAGGGAGGGACGGGCAGCAGCAGAGGCTGGGACTGGGTTCTGGAAAGACTGCTGACACCCCAGAGAGCTTTCTTCCATGTTCGCTTTGTGTTCAAGTAGGAGGCTGAGAGAGGGGGTGTGCCTGACATAGGGCAGCCAAACAGCCACCTGTTGGTCTCCCTGGCCCTGTCCCTTTTCTCCAACCCCAGTCCGTCTCGCCCTACCTGGTTCATCCCATCTTCTTGGCTGAGAGCCGGAAGGCCATTCTTTAAGTGGCAACAAGCTGTCTCACTGGGGCTAGCTGCAGCTGCCCAGTCCTCTGCTCACCTCGGGCATTCCTGAGTAGGGCCACGGCTGCCTGTGACAGCTGGGGGCAGGTGTTGTGGCATTGCAACTTGCCTCCTGCAATACTGACAATGTTATGCGAGTGCCCGTTTGAGTCTTGGCTGCTCCACTTCAATGCAGCCCCCAGCTAGCGTGTCTAGTGATGGAAAATGCCCCTGTGGCTCATGTGGGAGGATCAGATGGAACTCCAGGCTTTGGGTTGAGCCTGACACAGCCCTGGCTGTGTGGCCATCTTGGGAGGGGAACCAGAGGATGAAAGATCTCTTTCCCTGTCTATTCCCCTCTGTGTAATTGGCTTTCAAATGAAATACATAAAACTTAGAAAAGATCTCAGGCGGGTTCTGGGAACAATGGTTCCTTCTCAGGATACACAAGAGATGCAAGCACTGTGTGTTGGGTTAAGGTTAGGAGGGATTCGACAAGAAAGAAGAACAACTAGATAGCAGCTAGCCTTGCCTCACACACCACGTGTCAATCACTTTGGGCTGCTGGTAAGCCACTGCGGCCCTGACGTGGCAGGCAGGCCTTTGTCAAATGCAAACTTGGGCAACTGATTTGACAGCACCCAGCGGTTTCTCAAAAGCAAGTCAGTTCTGGGCTTTGAGCACAATGCAGTTTGAAATGGACAAGCTCTCTGTATGTGTTATTCAGAAACATTCTCTTAGAAGCTAGCATGTTTACCCCACCACGGCAATGTGTTCCAGCAGAAGGGTCGACCTTGGAAATGCTCCAAAGGGCATTCCGTTCTGTTTCTTTAGCAAAGCAGCTCCTTATAAAATGCTATGTGATACCTTTATGTGCTGTTGTCTAAATCTACACTTAACTGAAAGAATGAGTAGGCTTGAACGCTTTAGAAGGCAATTTATTAGCTGAGTATTTTCTTCCCAGCAACTTGTGACTTTCTACACCATAGGAGAACACACATACACACACACACACACACACGGCTGAACATTTTTGAACTTGACCCATGGGGCTGGATCACTTCCATCCATTGCTTCCTGTTGACAGCCACAGGGTACATGATTCAGAGTCAGATCTTGAGAAAAATTAGTAGTACCTCTTACAATTCTGACACCTTAAGCCCCCGAGAGATTCTCACTTCTTTGGTGCTTCCTCACCTGCCACTCCCAAATTCAAAACAAGTTCAGGTGTGCACAAAATGAGGTAAGAAGCAACTGGGGGAAGGGGAGGGAAAACCAAACTCAAGACCCAAATCCTAACAGCAGTAAGAAAATGAAAGCATGCTAGCACTTCTCTGAAATGAACAGATCCCTTAGTGTTGGGGGTTTGTAGGACAAAGCCTCTGAAAGATTCCTGGAGTCCCACCCTCCCCCCCACCAGCCTCAGCTGGTGAATTGCTGTTTCTGAATGAATATGCTACTTCTCCCCCTTGACTATCGGTGGTTCAACCCAGAAAATGACACCTTTAAGCATTGTGACCCTAGGGAAGGCCCAATTTTAGTCATTCTGGCTTCCCGTCTTTGGGGCCCCTCTGTTCAAAACTTTACCAGAATTCTGGATTTTACTTACCCACATAGCTCATCTTCCCCTGCCCCTCACCCCATTTTGACTGGCATCTGGGATCTGCAGCTGTTCTAAGCCGGAGCTCCGTGCTCATACATCTAGTGTTTGCAAACCTCCTGGAGAGACCTGTTCATTCCGCTAGGCTGGCAAGGACTGCTGGGAAGGCCAGAGCCTTCGGAGAGGTGGCCAGTGCTCAAGCTCAGAGAACTAGCCACCTCGGCCAACACCAGCCCCTGCTCTTCATTTTGGATTTGATCTCTTCTCCAAGGCCAGCTTCAAGGGGCTTTTGAAGTTAAGGGTTCATTCTGACTTTTAATCTCCCTTTCTGTCAAACCCACCCCACATCCTGCCAACTCTGGAGCACTCTGGAGCCCACCTCCTTGCTGTGGCCAGGGTACTTGTCTTAGAGAAAGGCTGTCTTCTCTTTGGCCCGATTCTTGCCCTCATAGTTCACCTTTTGGGGTGACTTTTCAGCTGTGTGGTGTAGGCTTTCTGCAACACTATCTGCTGTGCCCGTCATGATCATGAGGCTGGCAGATCCCCGAGGCAGCCACGGGGTCTGCCCACCAGTGAGCTTTGCCCATGCAGTGCCTACAGCCTCTTCTCCTCCAGCATCTGGGACACTGAAAGCTGTGGAACCTGCTGACCTTGCCTGGGAAGGGAAAAACACCTTCTTCACTAACCCCTGTCATGCCTTTTCTCCCCACCCCTGTGCTGTCTTGCACAGCCAAGATGCTGTACAATGTTATTTCTGGATTCATTTTCTTGGCTGCTCAGATCGCCAAGCTCAGGACCCAGCAGCTCTTGGAGGTATATTTTGTAATAAACTTGGCAGGGAAGAGCTGGTCCATGACTTGTGTGTGGAGTGGTGGGCAGTTCATCAATATACATTGCTTTCGCTTTTGAGAATGGATGGGCATAAAAGACCTAGCATAATTCAAACAGATGTCGGGTAGATGGATACCACTTGGGCTCCTCCATGACAGTAATTTCCTTTCTAAATGAACTGCTCTCCAGCCCAGAATGTGTCTTGGGTGGCACGTGTAACCCAGTCCTGCTCACAGGCCAGTGGAGGGGTCCTGCTCCCCAGTGGATCGGGTGTAAGCTGAGTTGGCTCGTTCAGGAGTCTCACACTGGAAGAACAGGCAGTGTTTGCAGAAGCGTTTGCCGATGTGTTTCTGGAAAAACAGCGAGAGGTACCTGCGGAACTTCTCCCCAACGAAGGCATAGATCACTGGGTTGATGCAGCAGTGTGTCATGGCCAGTGTCTCTGTCACCTGCATGGCTTGGTCCAGTTGGTTGCTGCTCTCACAGTTGTTTAGACCGAAGGCCTCCTGGAAGTTGTTCAGGAGGAGGACGATGTTATAGGGAGTCCAGAAGAGGAAATAGACAATCATGATGGCAAAGATGAGCCGCACAGCCCGGTGCCGCCTCTTCTCATTGCGACAGCGAAGCAGGGTCCTCAGGATCCCCGAGTAGCAGATGACCATGACAAGCAGGGGCAGGATCAGGCCTAGGATGGTCATCTGCAATGTATGGAAGTTCTTCCAGAAATGATACTGACTGGGTGGAAAGTGAGAGCTGCATGTATACCGCATACCTTCTTTTTGAGATCTGGTGAAGATAGTGGTTGGAAGAGATGCTAGGATTGCCACCACCCAGGTGACCCCGCTGGTCACCACCCCAAAGATGACTGTCCTGGCTTTTAAAGCAAACACAGCGTGCACGATGGCCAGGTACCTGTCGATGGTCAGGAGGATGATAAAGAAAATGCCGGAGAAGAAGCCGATGAGATAGACGCTGGTCGTAAGCTGGCATATCGTGTTTCCAAAGTCCCACTGGGCTGAGGCGTAGTGAGCCCACAGAGGGAGCGTCAACAGGAACATCAGGTCGGACACGGCCAGGTTGAGCAGGTAGATGTCAGTCATGCTCTTGAGCTTCTTGCAGCTGACCAGGGTGAGGATGACCAGCAGGTTTCCCACAAAGCCAAAGATGAACACCAGCGAGTAGAGTGGGGGAAGGAGCTGGGCTGCCACCTGCTTCACGTTGGTCTTCTGGCAGGGCTCTGACATCCCGTAATCGATGTCATAGAAGGAGGTGGGCGTTAGGTAATCCATCAGGCTCCAAACTAAGCAGAAAGAGAGAACTCCTTAAAGTCCTGTATGGTGGCCCACCACTTAAACATGGATAAATCTTACATGAACAGATTTCTGTACTTAATTGGATTCCCTTTTGGGGCTCGACAATGGTGCCATGTTTTGAAGGGAAAGTTTCCTGCTAACTTTGCCTGCCTCCCACCCAGACTATGTTTAAATGAATTTCAGCCCATGTGCCCCCCACAAAATTCTCATTTCGCATAGCACAGTGAGGCCACTATGGCAGCATCTGGCAGCCTTCCAATTGGAGTCTCCGCTGCAGCTCCCTAGAGTTTACTCACATAGAAGAGGCATGAAGAGTGGAATGGGAATCAGCTAGAGGTCCCATGGGCACATACTGCATGCCCATCAATATGACCCTCCTGTTCACACAGGCCATTTCACAATTTCTCCAAGCACTGAGACGAGTGACTTGCTCAGACTATGGACACAGGCAGCTTTCATCCACTCTGTTGCTCTGTGCCTCGCTTTTTGGCAGGAGAACTAAAGGGGAGGATGGACCATGCATCTGCTGCTTTTGCGAGATCAACCAGAAGCCAGTCCATTTTAAGTCCCTGCTCTCCTTGGCTATGAACTTGGTCTCGTAGCCCCTGAGGAGTCCTGATCAAGAGCTCCCTTACAAACACAAGAAATAACCAAGTCAAGAACAAACAACCCCCCCGAAAAAACCTCCCTCCCACCCAGGTAAATATCACCCCTCCTGGCAGGTGAGCCTTTCCAATGGGCCCAGTCTACTGAAGTCCCACGCTATAGGTGAATGTTTTCTCTAATCCTGGTGATCTCAAACTCCTGAACTTCCAAGGACAGCTTTGAGTCAGCTGGAAGAAGTTCCCAGAGAAATCTCACCTTTACATTTTCTGAGCCAGATTAAATAGACATGCCCTAGGCTGCGGATTCAAATACATGTTAGAGGGAAATTACTTCTAAATACTAATCTTGTATGGAATTAGACATTTGGGCTCCCCTCCTTTTTTTCTGGAGGAAACAAAAAGAGAACCAGATGTCAAGCTCATGTTCAGAGGTATTGCTTTTAGTTCTCCTTAGCTGGGGAAAAGTCTCCTAAAGTTTTACCCAAGACTCCTCCTCTCTTTCCAGAGCTTTCTTGGGTGAGATGAGGAAGGCTGGCTTTAAGAGTCAGGTCTTTGATTCATTGTCTTGTTCTGTATCTTTGATGTTAACACAGTCAGAAAGTCAGTCTACCTTCTGGTCCTTTCCTTATCTTGATTATATTTTAAGATAATTCTCTAAACACCTGCTCTGGGTTTCCTGTAGAAGTTTTTGCTCATCACACAAGCTGAGCGGACTGGTAGTCCGGATGAGAAAGGAGTAACTTACCCCAGAGTGTGTTCTTGTAGGGGGAACAGATGCCTCGGTGCCTCTGGCCAGCTGAGCTGTGCAAATCAAACATATAGACAGCAGAAAAGTAGGAAATGCTTTAAAATAGGGGGTGGAGCTTAAAGAGTAAGTGCATTGCTGGGGGTGGGGTGGAGTGGGGAGAACAGGCTAGAGTTCTTCTTTTTCAAAGTTGAACTTAAATGGGCCAGGGAAGAGATCCCGGGTTCTTGAGTTTGTTGGTGGGGTACTCTCCTGATCTCAGTTTTGTCCTCTGCTGACCCATCTATGTAGAGTGTGTTGGAAAACAGAATGAAGGGGAGAGTACACTCGGGAGAACACAGCTCCATAGAAACTGCTGTTCGAGAGAGAGCAGTGGTTTGTGTAAGAGCACAGGGCTCATCCATGCAGGGTGAGAACTTGGATTCTCTTCATGGTGGCCCTTTGATAAAGCCAGCTCCAAGAAACCCCACATTGAAATGACATCCTGTGGCTAACACGAACCCCACGCTCCCTTTATCCATGCTGGTCCTTTCCTCTGCGCCCATGCATCTCGCTTGCTCGCTCGCTCACACATGCTTACATGATTTTTCTCTGCAGGTTCAAAAACTGGTTGTCTAAAGGGTTTTGTCCTAAAGGTTCACCTATGAGATAAGTACATTTTGCATCTTTCTCTAGATATGGTATCTGGGATAGAGGAGAACATGAGCAATTTTAAAAAGCTTTATTTATTTATGTTGGAAAGGCAGATTTACAGAGAAAAGGAGACAGAGATCTGCTCTTTCACTCCCCAGATGACTGCAACAGCCAGAGCTGAGCTGAGCTGAGCTGAGCTGGAGCCAGGAGCCTCTTCCGGGTTTCCCACACTGGTGCAGGGAGTCCCAAGGCTTTGGATCATCCTCTGTAAACTTTCCCAGACCACAAGTAGGGAGCTGGATGGGAAGTGGAACAGCCGGGACACAAACTGGTGCCTGTATGGGAGGCACTTGGAGGTGGGGGATTAGCCAGTTGAGCCATCATGCTGGTCCCATCGTAATCACTTCTGTTCTGGAAACTTTGTGTCCCTCCACATCAGCTAGCTTTCAGGGCAGGCTCCTTGCCCCAAGCACATGGAGATCCCAGAGTAATGGCAGAGTGTGTAAGGAGTCCAGGAGTCTAGGACAAGCTCACGTGCAGTCATAGCAAGCTCTCTCGGCTGTTGGTGACTCTAAAACCTCAATTATTAACAGCTGAGAATGTAACCACTGCTGGACCACAAGTCTCTCTGGACTTCTGTTGCCTTGGCTACAGAGTAAGCAGCGTTAGTCCGTGAGCTACGAGCAGATGAAAGAGACCCCAGACAACACAGGGGTAGGTCCCCAAGCCTGTGGAGGCAGCTCAACAGAGACTCTGCTGTCAGACGGCCAAGCCGGAAGTGAGTCTCTGCCCTCGGTTTGCTCATCTGTATATTGGGCTTAATAACAATAGGCACTTCAGGGATCCATTGGGAGGGTTCTATGTAACGTGCACCAACATGAATACAAACTATATATGTGAGAAGCTCATGGTTGCTCACCTTCTTTGAAAGCTTGTTTACCCAAGGGTTCTTAGCTAGAGCCGGTTGTCCCCTGCAAAGCTGAAACCGAAAGGTACAGCCGATGGCGTGTGCTGGGAGAACAGAAAGACACAGCTATTTGAACAATCTGGAGTAACCCAGACAGCCCAGCAGCAGTCAGCCATCACCTGGGGGTGGGGGTGCCTGTTACAACACAGCTGGATAATGGCAAGTGAATGGCCAAAGGCTGTTCAAGGTCCCCCCACCGGATGCAGCTCACATGCAGGAACTGGAGTCATGCAGCTGGGGTAAAACCCCAGCTTCATTTGCTAACTCTAATCACTTCGTGGAATCTCTCTGAGCTTTAGTTTCCTTAGCCACAGTTTATTTTTCTTTTAAAGCCCCAATCCTAAACTGATTCTACAGCTCTGTGCTCAAAATGGACTGAAACTTGCCCAGTAAGCATAGAGTTTCAGATTCCTGCTCTTGATGGGCCATTTAAGTGGAAAAACACATCCTATGGAAAGAGCTCCCCAAGTGGGTAATAGATACAAAATTCTGTGGAAAACAAGTCCCCTAAATGCTGTGCTCCTTGTTGCTGGACAGCCTTTGGCCACGTGTGACACCTTGCAGGCAGTTGGACGCACGTTATTTATGCTTGGGAAGGCTGGTTCTCCCCCACGGTGGGCTTTGCTATGGTCAGTGTAGCTAAGGACATGCACGTACTTGCCTCCAGAGGGCGATGTGGAGTGGTAGCGACTGAGCGGCTAGCTGACTCTGCGGGTGCTATGACCAGACTTCCTCTCTGAGTTTCCACTTCCTCATCTGTCCAGTGGTGCTGGGCTAGGCCTGGCAGCAGCTCTCACCCCGAGTGTCCCATGGCTCCGTGGCCAAGTGTGATTGGATGGGTTGGGATGAGGCTTAGCAGGGAGTGTTATCTTGAGAATTTCTGGTCTAGGCCATCCCTTGGGAAGATGGATGTATTTCAAGGATGCAGAAGTGGGGATGTGTGGGAAAATCTTCAGCATCTAATGAAGGACCTTCATTCTAGCTACAACAACCGCTAGTAGCTGTGCCTTAACATCTTGGGCTCTGCTTTTCTTTGTACTTAATCCTTCCCAGTTTGTTTTCAAAACACCTACTTGGGCCAGGCTGAAGCCAGGAGCTGCTTCTTGGTCCTCCCAATCTGAGTGCAGGGATCCGAGCACCTGGATCATCCTCTTCTGCTTTTCCAAGCGTGTTAGCAGGAAGCTGGATGGGAAGTGGAGTAGCTGGGACTCGAACTGGCCTCTGTGAATGTGTCAACTGATGTCTTAACTGTTAAAGTGCCTGCCCCTTGCACATTTTGACTGTTCCCACACAAATGCCATGCTGTATTCTGCTGAATATGACAGTGTGGGTGTTTTCCCACACTGCTAAAAAATAGTCATGAACGCCGTTCTTTCCCTGACATTTTGTTGAGGCAAAACTTAGGTGCAGCCAAGTGCACCGATCCCAGTTGTACAATGTGATGAGCTTAATAACGCACACAGCCATGTTAGCACCACCTAGATCAAGGTGACACCTGGAGGTGCCCTTTATCCCACCCTGGGTAAGGGTCATTACAACTTTAGCTGGATCCAATGACTATCTTTCACTTTCTGATAAGTAGAGTCAGCTGCTGCCCTCCTTCCTGGCTGGCCTCTTGCAGCTGTATACCACTTAGTGTGTACCTCAGCTATTGGACAGCTGGGCTCTCGCCACCCCTCACTACATCAGTGGTGCTGTACTGATGTCCATGTCGGTACTCTGATGCCCCTAGCCAGCAGGGGGCTGCCCGTGTGTCCCCAGGGCCACCTGCATCAGCACATCCAGAGAGTTCTCTGTGGTCCCTGTGGAAGCAGGAAGAATCCCCCCCTCCCATGTCACACCGTGTCACCTGTGTGCCTCCACAGGAGTGTGTGCTATCCTGACTCCCAGCTCCCTGGTGGGGAGAGCCCCTCCCCTTTTGCCTCAGACACCTGTTGTGGCAGATGGGCTTGGGAGGTCATCCTGCTGCTCTCCATTCCTTCCTTGCTTCCAGTCCATGCAGCACATCTCCCCTAAGCCCTGTGCAAATCCTCAGCGAAGGGACCCCTGCAGGCTGTCCCTCAGGCCACTGAAGCCTTTCCCTCAGCCGCAATATCTGCTCTATATATTTGGGATCAGCGCCCAGCAGAGGGAACAAAAGCCTTAAGGTACACAATATACTCACTGTACTCTCAAGTGGGGTCTGACCTTCCTCAGCTCTACAATCAACTGTGTGTAGGCCAGGATGTTATGTAGGACTGTCCCAGTAGCCCCCAGAACTGGCAACTGTTGCCTAAGGTGGAGGACAAGGTGGGTGACAATACCTCATGCTTAGCCTGATGGAAGACCATCAACAGCTCTGCAGTGCTTATGGCAAAGTGACAGAACCAGCATGTGGCTCCAGCTGTTTTCCCTGTACCCCAGTGTGTTGGGGCAGGAGAGGATCTTGGAAGGGTATGGGGTTGATGGTGGCAGAGTGGGGTTTATGTCATTACAGTCAAGGGGACGGGCCGTGAGTAGTAAGGGCTTGCAAAAGGGGAGGTGGGTACTCTGATGGTGATGGCGGGGGAGGCCCTGACAGGTAGCTAGTGAACAGGGAGGAGGGGCAGAAGAGGGTGACAGGTGCAGAATGACCCTGAATAGCAAGGATGTTTTCCAGAATGCTGGTGTTCTGGGGCCACATGGCTAACCCAGGAGGAGATTAGGCTAAAAGTTTACTGTCTGTTGGATCCCACTATCTGATGGAGGGGACCCCAGTGCTTGGGTAACAGTGAGCTGGGAGAAGTCGCTCAGAGATGTTGCATGTCCAAGGGTGTGGTGGTGGGGACCCTTCCCATCTCCATGCCCTCTGTAGGAGACCAACATGCACCTGCCGTGCCAGGCTGCATGGGCCAACAGGGAGAGCCTGTGACTGGGACTGGTTAGATGGAGACATACCTGTCCTCCTTCCTCTCTACTCACTGTTGGCACCAGCCCAATAGAGGGGAAGCACAGGAGCTTCTCCCCAAGGTGGCCCACTAGTGCCAAGGCTGTAGGTGTGGCCAGAGCAGGCATGGAAGATGCGCCATTTCCCTCCTCTGCAGAATCCTCCAGAATCCAGGCAATGCTAAGGTCCTGATGGCACAGTGGCTGGAGGGGAGATAAATACTTCCATATTGTGGGCTGATTGCTTTAGGACATTTATGGGAAGGGGGTCAGTGGCATTCAGTGTCCTGCCTTGCCCTGCCCTACCCTGTCCTTTGCTTGCCAGGTTGCTGAGCTGGCGGAACGTCTAAGTGACTTTTCCCCATACGACTCCTGGTGGCTTGGCTTTTCAGGCTAGGCCACCATGGCTATAGATCACACGTTCCAGATTCTCTGTTAACACATGCACACATTTTCCTAAAGTTACAGATGACACCCTGTAGCCATGTCTGAAGAAATCTCTGCCCTCTATGCCCACGCCTTCCCACACTTGGCCCAGGCTCCTGCTTTGGGTCCCAGCGCCATACCTTGGAAGGCCAGCTCAACAGATTCAGGGCCTCTCCTTGGTATGTTTTGCTGGGTGGCCCTGGGTGGCTTTTCCTACTGCTGCATTTCTCTCTAGCCTATTTCAGGATGTCAGGGAAGTTAAACCAATGGTGAGCAAAAGCAAAAGAGGAAGGCTAGGGTCTTGATGCTTTACCCTCTGGGCCTCACTGATCAGGGTCATGGCTTGGAGTAGGCTGTTTACAGCCCTCTGCTCTACTACAAAAGCCTCCAGATGCCATGCGCTGGAATGCCTGCCTCCCATCTCGTCCCCTCTGTTGGCTTGACCAGCAGCTCTCCTGCATGTTTTGCATATATGAGGAGCCAAGTCTGGACAGACAGGACTAGTAACTTTAATTAGAGAGATGCTATCAGCTGGTTCAAATTCCCCAATTACCTGTAGTTGAACTAGACTGAAGCTGTAAATAGGGAGCACTTGGTCAGGATCTCCCATGTGAGTGGCAGAACCCCAACCACAAATCCTGGTGGCTGCATCTGAGGGTGTGCATTTACAGGAACTGGGAGTGTAGCCAGGACTTGAACTCAGATACTCCTATGGACCATGCGGGTGTCCCAAGGGGTGAGTTCATAGCTAGGCCAAGCAACAATGGAACCAGTGGAAACTTTCAAATGTTTTCTTTTTCAGTTGGCAACGTTTGAATAGTAGTTTTGGTAGCTCTGTTCCATGACAAGGGACCATAACTGGATTATCACGTTGTTCCTGTCACTCTAGCATCGTCTCAGATGACTTGTACCTCTGGGCCCAGCACAGTGCACTATGACTGTGCCCACACCATCCTCCATGCTCCTGCCTCCAGTGGGCTCTGGGTTCTAAGACTTGCAGGGCAGGGTCTTGCCAAGGGTGTCTTCTCCCCATTGGAGCCTGGCATAGGGATACTCGGCAGGTTGAGTTCCACGATGGAGAACAGATAGATACTTCCCCAAATGTTATGGAGTCACTAACACCATGTGGTTGATCACCATTTTGTGTCTAAACTCACTGGATACCCTGTGCTCAGCTGTGGCCCTGGCTTTGTTCTTTTAGCACATGAGCCAAAGACAGTGAACCACCTAGGGGACCTCCGTATGGCTGGAAAGAATGGCTTGGCTCAGCCACGAGTCGGGCTCTGTATGCACAGAGAAGCCCCCTGTCCTTCAGACTCACAGCCCAGTTGCCCTGTTGGTTGGGACTTGGGGCTAGGGGAGGGCTGGAGGTTTGTGGAACATCTTGTAGCCGTGAGGACAGATGTGTATGTAATTGCACAGGAGAAGGAGGTCACAAAGTTATCAACCAGACACAAGACAGATTTTTTTTAAAACAATAAGTTGAGTATGGATTTACTCCAAATCATAGTTTGTTAAATCAGTATTTACATTGTCATCAGTATAATACAAACGTTGGAGAATGAGACTACTGCCTACCCTGCCCTGCTTTCTGGAAACTTCTGCAGCCAGATGGCAAGAAAGTAGAACTGTGAGAACTTAAGAGCAAAGAAGCTGCTTTTTTTAAAAAAAGGATTTGTTTTTATTGAAAAATCAGATATACAGAGAGAAGGAGAGGCAGAGAGGAAGATCTTTCATCCACTGAGTCACTCCCCAAGTGTCCGCAATGGTTGGAGCTGCACCAATTGAAAGCTAGGAGTCTGGAGTCTCTTCAGGTCTGCAATGTGGGTACAGGATCCCATGGCTTTGGGCCATCCTCTACTGCTTTCCCAGACCAAACAGGGAGCTGGATGGGAAGTGGGGCTGCTGGCACTTGAACCAGTGTCCATACAGGATGCAGGCATATGCAAGGCGAGGACTTTAGTCACTAGGCTGCCACGCTGGGCCTGCTACTGCTTTCTTAACTGAAGGTCTCCAAACTTCCCAGGCCTTTGAAGTAAGCAATTCAGTACTGATCTGATGAGCAAGCCCCTGCTGGCCAAGCGGGGACACTGTGCTTGACCAAGGACACTCTGCGCAACCCTGAGGTGCTAAGGCATGGCAAGATCTTGGCTCTGTAACAGCAGGAGAGCAGAGTTTTCAGCAGCCAGGCAGGATGAGGAGACAGCGACGAGGACAGCTGTGGAGCTGAGGGTCTGTGATCCAAGGGTCTGTGACACTGTTCCTAGAGTCTGAGTCACTACAGGCTAAGCCCACAGCTCCCCGGTTCTTGGCTGCTCAACAGCTATAAGGGCACTTCAAAAGGTCTGTGGATAAAAGGGGATTAAATGATAGACTTGTTTCGGTGCAAAAATTTTTAGAATCCAGGCATGATTTTTTCACAACGCATAAAGATGCTTCGAGATGCAATCACTTTGAAAATTACCCTTTAAAAATTGTGTATCATGGTTTTATGTGAAAGGCAGCATGACAGATTTTCCATACCTTGGTTTATTCCTCAAATGATTACAATAGCTGGGACTGGGCCAGGTTGAAGCCAGGAGCCTGGATATGTCTGGGTTTCCCATGTGGGTGGCAGGGACCCAAGTATTGAGCCATCGCTGGTCGCCTCCCAAGATCTGTGTTAGCAAGAGGCAGAGCTGGGACTTGAACCCAGGCATCCTGATAGGGAGACGGGTGTCCAAGGGGGATGTTAGCCCCAGCTCCACACAACTGTTGAAACTTTGTTTTCTATAAACCTTTTGAAGGACTCCTGTATTTGTGATGATTCATCAGTCTACTAAACGTATAGTTCCAAAACTTTTAAGAAAAAAAGCTGTATGTCACACAGTATTTTTAAAAGTGACATGATAGTAACCCATTAAAACAATTCTTTACCATACTTGCAAGTTGCAGTTTCTAGCTTTATTATTATTATTATTATTTTGAGGGTGTCTGATTTGTGAGCTTTCACCCAATCATGCAGTGCTGGGAAGTATGTTCTTGGAAACTTCTTTTTTTTTTCCCCCCTATCCATCTAGTCTTTCTCATCTAGCCCTGCTCTGCACTGTTACTCAGATCCCAAGATTCACAGGCTGGGGTATGGTTCTAAAGCAAATGACTGTCTCCTTCCTCTCCAGGGTCTTCCTCTGCCATGAAGAGATGTCCCGAAACCCCCACTGGTTTTCCTCTTAATTCACAATTTCTATCATATTCTTCCCCAGATCTATTCTCACGCACCTCTACAAACTGCTGGTGAGTCAGGATGATCCTGCAGCCAAGAGTTAGGTGACACAGGCTGTAGGAGGGTGGAGAGGTGAGGAACAGCTATGCAGAAGCAGCTGGGTTCCCAGAAGGAGTCTTTGTAAGGTTCCTGTGTATCCATCCCAGGCTTGCTCCTCTCTGTGGATTCTGGAAACATCCTTGTTCTGACCCCTTCTCACCTGATAGAAAAACCCATCATTCTCTACCCCTCGCTCAGCCTTCCCCTCCCCCAGGGGAGACCACGTATGGGCTTTTAGTTCATCTTCTGGCTTCAAAACGTTCTATGTTTCTATATAGGAGAATCCAACCTGCTGAAGAAGTGTGTGGACAATGGATACTAGGTTTCACAGATCTCAAGTACTGGTGCACAGTTGCCATGGATACAGTGTCACAGAGAAACAATATCATGCAGTTATACAGAAGACAATCACTGGATCCAATCTAGGCTTCCCAAGGTTATTATGGTCCCCCAACTCTCCATGGCCTAGAGAAGCTTTCAGAGATACGAGTGGGAGACAGGGCTTATGGCCAGCACCACTTCCTGGCTGGACATCTCAACCTCTAGGCTCACCCTTTTCTCCATCTGGTTTCAGCCACACTCTTGTCATCCTTTCAGTGCTTAGCCCTGACTCCATGCCCCCTCATTCCCTATCACTCTGTACTTTGCCTGATTCCCCTCCTCACCTCCAGGTGGGGCCTTGGCTAGAAAAGGTTAGAAATATCAGAGATTGAGCAAAGAAATGGCGACGACTGAGAAAGGGACGTTCAGACAAGATGAGCAGGTGTTTTCTGGGACCGAGATAGGCTTGCTGGAGGGTCGGTGTCTCTGCCCACAGTTGTCCTGGTTTGTTCCCCAAGCACACAGTGACACGAGTGGAGTGACACAAGTCTGACTTGGTGCACACAGCCCTGAGGACCCTGAACCTCTGGTCCCCTATGGGTCTCTGTTCTTCAAAAAGTCCTTGAAGCTTTTAAAAAGAGCCAGCGGCCACTGCTCCTCAGAGGCCAGCCGAGACTTCTTGCTCTCCAGTGGAGGGGGTGTATGCAGAGCTCACTCGATCCGCTGCCTCCCGATAGAAGACTGGACACTGTTTGCAGAGGCGTTTGGCTATGTGCTTTCGGAAAAACGTCGAGAGGTACCTGCGGAACTTCTCCCCAACGAAGGCATAGATCACTGGGTTGATGCAGCAGTGCGTCATGCCCAGTGTCTCTGTCACCTGCATGGCTTGGTCCAGTTGGTTGCTGCTGTCACAGTTGTTCAGACCGAAGGCCTCCTGGAAGTTGTTCAGGAGGAGGACAATGTTATAGGGAGTCCAGAAGAGGAAATAGACAATCATGATGGCAAAGATGAGCCGCACAGCCCGGTGCCGCCTCTTCTCATTGCGACAGCGAAGCAGGGTCCTCAGGATCCCCGAGTAGCAGATGACCATGACAAGCAGGGGCAGGATCAGGCTCAAGACAGTCCTCATGATTGTGTGGAAGTTCTTCCATCTGAAGGGAACATTGGAACTGCAGGTATAATGAGACTTTTCCTCTTGGAATTTGGTAAACAGGATTCCGGGGACAGAGGCCAGCAGAGCCACCACCCAGGTGACCCCACTGGTCACCACCCCAAAGATGACTGTCCTGGCTTTTAAAGCAAACACAGCGTGCACGATGGCCAGGTACCTGTCGATGGTCAGGAGGATGATAAAGAAGATGCCACTAAAATAGCCCAGGTGGTACAGCCCTATAGATAACCTGCACAGGGCCTCTCCAAAAACCCACCTGTGGGCAGCATAGTGAGCCCACAGAGGGAGCGTCAACAGGAACATCAGGTCGGACACGGCCAGGTTGAGCAGGTAGATGTCAGTCATGCTCTTGAGCTTCTTGCAGCTGACCAGGATGAGGATGACCAGCAGGTTGCCCACTAAGCCCAGGATGAACACCAGTGAGTAGAGCGGGGGCAGGATCAGGCCTCCAAACATTTTCACATCAAACTTGTGACAAGGCAGGTTGTATTCATAGTCGTACGTGGTGGTGGCTTCCTCAGCGCTGCTAAGGATTCTATCCATCAGTAGGGAGTGTGCTGTAGACAGCGTGGTTGTGGATGAACCAGAGAAAAGGGTCTGGGCCCACCAGTCTCCTGTTTTGGAAACAGAAAAAGACGTGATGACCAGATGGTACACACACCACCCTCCCTGACCTTGCTCTCAGTGACCTCCCAGTCCCTGGTCTCTCCATCACAGTCCCTCGCTTGAAAACATGTGTGCCGGTTCATGACTCCTCTCTTATTCCTGGTAGCAGTCACCTGCCATCTACACAGCAGCCACTTCCCCTAGGAAGGCTCTTCCGGACCAAAGAGACAGAAGCACATTTGCCTCTCCTGCTCTGCAGCCTTGTCTCCTTGGGACTGATCCTTAGCATCACGAATGAAAGATGCCAAGAACCAAATAGAAGCCAGGAAGAGTCCTGATGCTGTGCTTGAACGGCTCAGCTTCTGACTTACTGCTATTGGAGAAAAACCAAACTCCTGTTTTAAGACCATGGTGACCTAGATTTCTGTTCCTTGCAGCCCAAAGTATTCCATTAACCATCTCTACATTCTGCCTCTCTTATCTTTTCGAAGTGTCTCCTTGCCAGGGTTGCACTTATAGTCCTCTGTTCAAATGGCTTAGCTTTCTCCCAGTTCCATCTGCATGGAGCCCATATTTCATGCTTCTGCTAACTACTTATGTTTAATATTCTTCCTGGCTTCTAGGTGGTAGCTTCCGCTGACTGTTTCAGGAAGGTGGCTTTGTTGGCAGTTCTGCTCATTGCCCACCCCGTGAGTCTCCAGGCTCCACACTGGCTTTTTGCTTCTCTTCTCTTTTTTGCTTGTTAAAGCTTGTTCCAAAGTTCTTCCTGAGTGGTGGTATCCAACCTGCACTTTCTAACTCCCTTCTATGCTAATTGACCAAAGCTCTGGTCAATTTTACTCCTCAATCTCAGAGTGAAGCTCTCCCTTGCCTCCTAAATACCTCCCTGTGAGTTTACAAGAAGTTAGTGGAAAATATGTACTGTCAAAGTGTGGATTTCAAAATATTCTGCACAAATTATCTGTTAAAAAAATAACTTTCACTTGAGGAGGGGTTGTGAATGAGAAGGGAGAAAGATTTATTGGTTTACTCTACAAATCACCGTGAAAGTTGGGACTGGGCTTGGTGAAAGCCAGCAGCCAGGAACTCATTTCAACTTTCTCAAGGGTGGCAGCAGCCTAGCTACCTGAGTTATCACTGCTACTTTCTGGGGTCTGCATCAGCAGGAAGTTGGAATTGGAAGTTGAAGCCTGGTCTTGAACTGAGATACCCTGATATGGAACATGAGCATCTGACTTGCAGGTTATCTTCCAAGCTAAATACCCATCCCTAACTTATCTTTAAATTCCCTTCCCCCCCGATGAACTCTTTGAAGTAATTTTATATGTGGTGGGACCTCAATGGCTATGCTCAGTCTGTCCACCTTGCCTTTTCTAAACTTGTTTTTCAGCCTGATTTTTGCTTCTTGGAGCGAGCTCAAATTTGGTACTTTAGCTTGCTGTCCCCCAAACTCTCTGTTTTTTTCACACTTCGTGGTTTTGTAGATGCTCATCTCCACCTGATGCAGCCAATGAAGTCCTGCTCGTCCCTTGCCACCTCCTGTTCAAATTTTCTCCGTGTCTGTGAAGTCCAATCTGCATCCCCTACCATGTCAGTGTTACCCAAGAACACTTCCAAGAACTCTGGGTGCTTTCTACACAGGCACTTGTGCAACCCTCAAGGTCAAAGAATGATTACCATCTCTTACTAGACAAAGGAGTCACCAACAAATGCTTACAGGATGGGTGTGCAAAACTCTAAATAACAACTCATCTTGACCTCATGTGGCCTGGATTCTCAGTAAAAAACACTTTTGGTAGCGATTGAGTTTGCTTTCATCCATCTACCCTTCATCTTTCTGTTTGTTCAGTGATGGAAATTTTCCGCAGACCTTGCGCTCACATCACTGAGTCAGATTCTTGAAACCTACAGGAGCTAAGTAAGCCCTCTGATCAGGGTTGGAAAAAAAAAGAACCTGCGTCATCTGAGAACTACAACTGTGAGCATCAACTGTGTGCTCTCACGGCTCCAGGCGCCACATTAAACCCTGTGTACACATTCAACACATGAATGAACTTCATTCCTACAACTAGCTAGCAGCTAACTCCCTCCTGCAGTGGCTCACCAACACAGCAGTCGAGATGCACTGGCCTGGCTTCAGGTCAGGTATGAGGACACATCATGCAACACTGATAGAAAACTACTTCTCAGAAGCTGAAGCCCTATTCATGTCTCTGGGAAGGGACTGCTGAGTTGAGGCAAGAGGCCACTTTGCGTCAGGGTCTGACCTGTCCCAACTGTAGTCTAGAGGGGCCAAAACCTCCAGAGAAAGGCTCAGCCTGTTTATAGTCCCCCTTAGATGCTCATGGGGCAGAGTGAGCCAGCCCTTGTGTGCCTGGGGAAGACAGTAGAGCAAGGGTGCTGTCCTCCCTTTCTCATCTGTCCACCCATCTCCTCCCACCTGACCTGAGGGGAGGGGTCTCTGCCCCATCCTGCACTTCCTCACTCTCAGCAGGGTCTCTCACACCTCCTGCTGTACATGGCATCCTTCACTGCCCCCTCCTCATCTTGATCATTCTGCACAAGTGCACAGCCTTAGCTGTCCCTCAGCATGTGCCCAGACCCTGCCTTTGCAGCTTGAGGAGTTGACCTAAGCCCACGAACCACCAAGTCACACAAAAAAGCAACCACAACTCGCCACTCACCAGTGGATGGCTGCTCCCCGGAGACACGGGTGTGTCAGGCTTCTCAGCCACGGCACCAGGCAGATCTGGAGGTAGAAACTTGGTGTGCAGAAGTAGGAAATAAAGTTTCCTGCAGAACGAGAAGGCGGAGATACAAGGGCCAGCAATGGTAAAGATTTGAAACACACACACACATACACACACACACCCCAGGAAGATTTAGTTCTTCTTTTCCAGCCAGGAACGTTGCACCCGGGTTGAGGTCTCCCCAAGTAGGATTTATTTTGAAATCTCTTATGTAACCTTGACTGTGAGACAGGCAGTCTATATATCTGCCCTCAATGTCAAACAACTCTGGGTTTTTTGTATCTTGTGGGTCTCTCTATCCATGCCCTGCCCTCCTGCTAGAGATCATTTGCATGATATGAACCTAGCAGAGCTTTTCAGAGATAATGAGGTGGTGATGCTAAGAGGAGCTCCATTGGAGTGTCACTAAGACTGTGTGCCCTGTTTGCACTGGTACTGTAGACCTGGGATCCAGGTAGACCTTCTATTGAGAAAATATCTTTTAGTAGAAAGAAACAATCAGATGGTCTCTTGTGTCGAGGATATCTTCTAGAAGGAGGGATCCTGGTTACCGTAAGCCTCACTTAATGGAAAAAGTTTGTTTCCAGAAGCTGCAGGTTTTGCATTATAAAGTATCATGCCTGGAACACCCATTTTATGGTTCTGCACAGATTGAGATCAACTGAGTGGATCCTTGAAAACTTCTGGAAGTCAGCACACCTTAGAGTTAGGATCTCAGGCTGTGGCCTTGACAAGTTTGTAAGCTTCCATTTCTCTGACCATAAAATATAATTAGATCTCTGTGGTCTGTGAGGTTTAAATGAATGTAGCAACTGTAGAAGCCTGTTATGCTGAAGAAGATAGAGAGGGACTCTATTAATCAAACTTGTTAAGGAACTTGTGGCCTTTCCACAGTGCTGGTCCTAGACTCAATGTCCCTTTCCATTGTCTTGGTCACCTCCCTTGTTGGAGATGCTGTATACACTGGAATTCAAAGCCACGCCTTTGAGAACTACTGATTCCCTAGGTATCTCATACATATAGGAAACATAAGTATTAATAAATGTGTTTATTAGTAAACTTCTTGGTTTTTTTCCCCCTCTTGTTAACCTGTTACTTAAACAAATACAAAAACTCCTAAGGGCTGAAGGAAAATTTTTATTCTGTGTAAGTTGAATGTTCACTCAGACAATACTGAGAGTTTGAGGTTGAAGAGTGGAGCTACCACTAGAAGTCTGGCAACGCAGGAGGACAGCAGAACAGGATGCACCCTGCCCTCCTGCTCCCACACTCTGATTTGCTGCCAAAGCCAGCTTCCTGTGGCTGAACCTCCTGGGAGAGGGAGCAGTGGGGAGTCTGAGTTGAAGGAGCTGGGAGACGATGGCTTCCCAAGAGAATCTATGGAGTATGGACAATCACAAAACCTCCATCTTCTCTCTCCATTTGCTTCTCATCTGGTCCATGTGGATAGTTAGGAAGTTGGGAGCTTTCAATAGTACATCTTCAAATCAATTCCTTATGCTCATGGAGAGAACTGGGAAGGGGGATTCTTACACAAATCTGAGAACTCTATCAATCTGCTGAAACTAGGTTCATGATGGGGCAATTCTTAGCCTGGAAGGTGAGTACCTCCAGAGTCTGTCCAATAGATTTAAGGAAAAGCTCGCAGCCTACCACCTAGCTCTGGTGTGCCTGCTGACCATGCAGGAGCATGCAAGAGGCCGAGTGGTGATCACCTCAAAGGGGACTTGGGGTGGGAATGAGGCAAAGCTGAATTCTCCTGTGAACTAATGAAATAGAAGCAACTTGTCTTCCCTGAAAACCAATAGAGCCAGACCGACCCTGGCTAGGAGACATTTCCGATGCTTATTTTCTTCCAGAAGGGTCTGCAGGTGAGTTAGGGGCTTGGACCGCTGATGCTGAAAGTGAACTTTGTTCTCTGCCATAGCATTGATGGTAAGACTCCCTCAAAGGAAAATACAGAGGAAAGAATAGCTAGAGAGCATGACTGCTGGAGCAAGAGAACAGGAACGGCCAGTAGGGATGGCGGTGACATCCCTGTGACTTTCCTATTCCTCAGCAATGGTTGTGTTCAGTTGGCACCTTTTAGATCCCAGAGAACTTCTTGCCTCTTGTCAACCTACTGGTTCATGGTTTATTGTGGTTTCTATGGTTTGCATGCTTCCTGTGACCTACTAAAATAGATTCTTGAGTTCTAGGATTTTATATCTTTGCTTCTGGTGCAGCGTGGTCAGGACTGATAGAAGACCTCCAGAAAAGGCAGTGATGTTACCTCCCTGTTTTGGTCGTGTCCTCAAGGTGAACACCCCCTCCCCAGGTGAGTCCTACCTCTCCTCTCCCCTGTGACAGTCACATAACAGCGGAGTCACACCAGAAAGGCCAGCAGCTCAGAACTGTTCTTAGAAAGGAAGTGTCAAGTAGCAGTGCTCAAACATGAATTCTCCCCCAAGTCATCTTTGAAGTTCACCACAAAAACCAGATGAACCAAGAACAGACAAGGCCATAGGACTGAACATGGTAATGAGAGGGGCACCAAGAAGAGACCTTTACATTTATTTGATAGGTTGAGTTGGATAGAGAAGGAGACAGAAAGATCTTCCATCCATAGGTTCATTCCCCAGATGGCTGCAACAGCCTGAGCTGGGATGGTACAAAGCCAGCAGCCAGGAGCTCCTTCCAGGTCTCCCACATGAGTTCAGGGAGTCCAAGGCCTTGGGCCATCTTCCACTGCTTTCTCAGGCCATTAGCAGGGAGCTGGATGGCAAATGGGGCAGCTGGGATGAGAACCTGTGCCTATAGGGGTTGCCCAAACAGCAGGTAGAGGATTAGCCTGTTATGCTATTGCACTGGCCTTTGATCAGAGTCTAAAAAATTAGAGCATATAAGGAACAGATCTGAGGTTCTGTACTTGCAGGCCAAATTATTTCTTTGAGGGGTGGGGTGGAAAGAGGGAAATGATGAAGTCAGATCCGTAATCCATTTATTTGCTATTAAGTTCCTGCAAGTGATTGGAGGAGGCATTTGAATCTTGTAGGGGAAGTAGTCCTGTTTTTCCTTAGTCCATATGTTTTTAAACGACTCCTGACCAGGTTTAGATCTCAACAGAGACATCTTGGAGGTAGGCTGTTGTGGGGCTGTGGTTGGGAGAGGCCAGGAGAGAGCGCTTCAGAGAAGGCCCCAGGGCATGGTAAGCTCAGTTTAGCGCTGGTTCTGAGGCCTGCCATCTGGGATTTGCCCTCACCACCAGCATCTCCCCTACCCCAAAGCTTAGTGAGAGTTGGCACTAACGGGTTGAGGTTCTTGCATATATCTCTGAATTCTGAGGTGTCCCAGGAAGGGGCACAATGCTACAGTCAGCACCAGGAAACCCAGACTGTACTCTCGGGAGGTACAGGTGGCATAACAGGAAACACACAAGACTAGCGGTGGTGGAGATCCTGCTGTGTGTGCAGAGCTGGCCTCATCCTGGGTGGGTGGCAAGTGACAGACATAGAGAGACAAGACCTGGCCAAGCATGGCTGGTGGGGGACACGCTCAACTGATAACATTGGCTTTGCAGGAACCATATTAAACCCTTCTGGTAGGGAAAGGTCAAGTGTGGGGAGGGCAGCTCATGTGCAATGAAACACAGGCATAGATACTAGTGTCTAAAAAACAATTTGTGGGGCTTGGCGTGATAGCGTAGTGGTTAAAGTCCTTGCCTTGAACGTGCTGGGATCCCATATAGGCACTGATTCTAATCCCAGCAGCCCCGCTTCCCATCCAGCTCCCTGCTTGTCGCCTGGAAAGGCAGTCGAGGATGGCCCAATGATTTGGGACCCTGCACCTGTGTGGGACACCTGGAGGAAGTTCCTGGCTTCTGGCTTCGGATTGGCACAGCACCAGCCATTGCGGTCACTTGGGGAGTGAACCATCGGACGGAAGATCTTCTTCTCTGTCTCTCTTCCTCTCTGTACATCCACATTTCGGGGAGAAAAAAAAGCAATTTGTGCTGAAACAAAAGTGAATACTTTCAAAGATGGCGATGGCTATACCTTTGCTACAGTAAGAAAAAAGGGAGAACATTGCAAATTACTAAAATGGGAGGAAAGTGAGGACATTATTACCAAGTGTACAGAAATAAAGGTTATAAGGGAGTACTGTGAACAGTTAGAAAGTCAGAGAACTAGGTAATCTAGGTGGAATAAGCAAATTCTTGGAAACACGTGAGTTTCTGCAAACTGGCTCAAGAAAAATATCTGAAAATAGTCGTAAGAATAAAAGATTGACTTAGCCATCAAAAATCCCCTTGTCCTTGATATGTAGCAACAAGGCAGGGAGATAAAGGTTCTATGAGAGGGAGTTTTTGCCAGCCCCACATTGTAACTTCATCCGTTTACCTGTCAGTGCAATATTCGTGACTTCTCATGTTCACACCTGTGTCCCATGTGGGACCAGGAAGGAAGAAGACTCCAATGGGGAGGCACCATGAAAATTCCAGAAAGTCTCATGTATGCTAAACTCCATCCAGACCCCGTCCTCCTAGAAGAGGTTCATCCCATGGGAAGGCTCCTCTTGACCCTGCTTTGGGATCCTTCTTCAGCTTTCCCACCCCACCCCTTCCTAGGCAGCTCTGGTTGGCATCACTCTTGGTTGGCATCTCTCCTTGTGGATGCCCACATTCATGTAATTCGAGTCCTGCCCTGTTTGTGTCCTGTATCACACCTTTTTTTTTTGAATGCTTATCTCTGGGGTGGGGCAAGAATCCGGAGTAGAGATGAAGATATACAGGTGGATAACAGCTTCACTGGTGAGTTCTTCAAACATTGACAGAAAAACAGCAAGACTTGATGATGATAAGTTTCTTCCAAAGCAGGAGAAGAGGTGATAATGTCCTCACTCATTCTGTGAAGACACAGCATTGGTGTAGCAAAGCTAGACACCACACACACAAATCCCCAGAGACCAATATCGCTCACGAACCCAGAGGCAAAAACTCTCAAATACTAGCAAACAATCTAGCAGCATAGCAAAAGGAGTGCAGACCACAATCAAGTGGGATTTATCCTAAGAATGCCAATATGGTCCAACATAAAAAAAAATCAATGCAATATATTACATTCATAAACTGAAGTCTTAAAAAACAATCCCATTTTTTTTTCTGGGTCATTATAATTGACTCAGAAAAAGCATTTTGACAAGTACAACACTCAAAAAGTAGAAATAGAAAGTTCTTTAGCATGAGAAAGAATTTCCTTAATCTGAGAAAAAATCTGAGACAGCGTCGTGACACAGCAGGTAATGCTGTTTGTGATGCCAGCATCCTGTATGGGATCCAGTTTGTGTCCTGGCTGCTCCACTTTTGATCCAGTACCCTGCTAATTGCTTGGGGAAAGCAGCGGGTCCCAAGATGTGACCCGCACAGGAGACCCAGAAGTTCCTGGTTCCAAGTTTGTTTGGCCTTGCACTGGCTGTGACAGCCATCAGGGGAGTGAGCGAATGAATGAAAGATCTCTTTCTGTGTAACTCCTTCAAATAAATAAATCTTTCAAAAATGAAAACAAAGCAAATCTCTCAATCCTACAGCTAATACTCTGTTCTGAAAGGCTGAGCAATTTCTTTGTGACATCAGGCACAAGATGGGGATGCCCATTTTCACCACTCCTATTCAGAATCACGCTGGAAGCGATAGCCAGAAATTAGGCCATGAAAGGAAATAAAAGGAATGCAAATGAGAATGGTGGAAGTAAAACTGTGTTCACAAATGACATAGCTGGCTGTACAGAAAATTCCAAATCATACACAAAAAAACTACAAGGTTTACCAAACAAAGCCAGCAAAACTGCAGTACGTAGGCTCAAATAAAACCAATCATCAGACTTTCTTTAAAAATTTTATTTTCATTGGAAAGGCAGATTTACAGAGTGAGGGAGAGAAAGCTCCCTTCATCTGCTGGTTCACTCCCTAAATGGTTGCAATGGCTGGAGCTGAGCCAATTGAAACCAGGAGCCAGGAGCCTCCTCTGGATCTCCATGCAGATGCAGGATCCCAAGGCCTTGGGCTGTCCTCCACTGCTTTCCCAGGCCACAAACAGGGAGCTGGATGGGAAGTAGAGCAGTGGGGACACAAACTGGTGCCCATATGGGTGTCTGCACTGGGAGGGTGGAGCGTTAACATCAAGTAAGTTTCTGAGTACTAGCAATGGGCAGTCCAACAGGGATCAGCAAAAAAAAAAAAAAAAAATCCCATCCATAATAACACTAAAAATAACAAAATATTTCAGGATATGTGTCAATAAACAAGTGAAAGACTTGTATTCATCCACTACCGAACAAGGCTGAAAGAATCAAAGAAAATTAAAGTGAAAAAATAGCTCATATTCATGAATTGAAGGCTTGAAAATGGAGAAAAGCCAATCCTCAGATTCGTATGAAATTATGCTTAGAAAAGCATCTTCCCAGGAAAAGGACAATGATGGCGGATCCACGCTTTCTGAATTCAAAACCTAATGTGAATGTGTAATAAAGCAATGTGGTGTTAGCACAATGGAATAGAATTTGAGTCCAGAAATAAATTCAAACATCTGGTAAACTGATTTCCAGTGAGGGTGCAGGGGCTCCTCAAGGCAGGAGGGAGAAGCTCTCGGTGAATAGTGCCCGTGTTACCGATTGTCCAATTGCGGAAGGGTGAAGCTGGGCCACTGCCTCACATTGCCTATGAAAAAGAACTCAAGGGCCCGGTGCAATAGTGTAGAAGTGGTTAAAGTCCTCGCTTTGAACCTGCTGGGATCCCATATGGGCACTGGTTCTAATCCCACGACCCTGCTTCCCATCCAGCTCCCTGCTTGTGGCCTGGGAAAGCAGTGGAGGACAGCCCAAGGCCTTGGGACCCTGCATCCGTGTGGGAGACCCAGAAGAAGCTCCTGGTTCCTGGCTTTGGATTGGCTCAGCTCCAGCCGTTGTGGTCACTTGGGGAGTGAATCATCGGGTGGAAGAACTTCCTCTCTGTCTCTTCTTCTCTCCGTATATCTGCCTTTGCAATAAAAATAAATAAATCTTAAAAAAAAAAACCTCCCAGCAGGGGTAAATTCAATCTTGGATTTTTGCTATGAATACTTAAGATACCAAATGCATGAACAATAAAATAAAAAATTGACAAAATGCACTTTATCTGAAAATAAAACCTTCTGAGCATCAAAGGACTATCAAAAAAGTGAAAAATAGAACCAAAAGAGTGAGCAATATTTGCAAGTTGTGTATCTGATCAGAGCCTAGTAGTCAGAATATATTTAAAGATACCCATCTCAACAGATAAGTCAGCGAAATTGAGCAAAACACTCAAGACATTTTATCACAGATCTGCAAATGGCCAAAGAATACACAAAAAGGCACTCTACTGCTAGCCAATGCAAATCAAAACCACACTCCGATACCACTCTATCACCCTCAAGGGCGGCTGTACTTATAAAGTGGGAAATAGCAAGTGCTGGCAACAGCCCTGAGCAGAAGTCAAAACTTTCACATTATTGACGGGGAAGTAAAATGGTGTCAATATTTGGAAAAACAGTTCGACAACTCTAGAGAAAAAAGCTTTGCATAGAATTATATGCAATTATCTGCAACTCTAGTCCTAGAAAAGTATTCTAACTGATTGAAATCAGGGAAGGGACACTTGCTCATGAATCTTCATAGCCACACTCTCTGCCAGCCAGAAAATGGAGGCAACCAAACACTGATCTGCAGTGGGAGTGGATGAACTCACAATCTCTTTGTGGGATCACTCGCAAAATAGAAAGAAGCACTGGGCTCATGTAGACAGGTTTTGAAAACATGACACCAAGTGCAAGAAGATCCCAGACTACACAGCTCACATGCCACACTGTTACCAAAATATCCAGAATAGGTTAATCCGTTGAGACAGATAGCAGGTTGGTGATGGAGAAAAGAGAATGGGCAATAGCTGATTAATGGGTTCACTGCTTTGGCAGGAAGTTAGCGGGTCACTTAGAGTAGAAACAAACAGGACCAGAGGCCAAATGCATGCAGTCGTCATTGCTGGTTGAGAGCCCGAAGCATTTTGGGAACTTTGTTAATGAAATACTGAGGTGCCTATAACGTGAGTGTGCGTGGGCCTTGAAGCAGATGACAACATGGCAAACTGGAGACATTTGAATACAAGGCACATCTGGTGATGGTCACACGGGCAGGGGCGTGCTATGGCAAGCTCAGAGGGGCCTCTCGATGGGGTTTAGGAGACATAAGGATGTTTGGGATGAGCCTTGCAGGATTCAGGCTAGAGAGATGTACGAGGAAAGGGCAGTCCAAGCAGAGCAGGATGGAACCCCAAGGAGAAAGAGTGCCTGCGTGGAGGAGGGTGTGGTGAAGGCATGCGTTGACTATCAAGCCAGGAGGTCGACTCACAGATCTGAATTGCTCAGTGCAAGAGTCTTAGGTGGGGGAGGACTAGATTTTTAACCTCAAAATTGCTTTCAAGAATCGATTCTTTGGGGGCCAGTATTTGGCCAGTGGTTAAGACATCCACATGCTTTATCCAGGTGTCCGGGTTTCAGCCCTGGCTCGCTCTGCTCCCAGCTTCCCCTTCCTGATAATGCAGAGCCCAGCAGCAGGCAGCAGGTGATGCTCCAAGGACTTGGTCCCCGCCACCTGCATTTAATGTTTCAGTTCCTGTCTTTAACCTGTCCCGGCCCTAGCTGCTGTGGGCACTGGACACTGACCCAGAAGATGGGAGTGTGCTCGCTCTGTCTCTCCAAACAATGAAGACACTGAACTCGTGCTTTGGTAAAGCAAAGGTGATAGACGTGAGCAGTATAGAAATCAACTGGAGGGATGATTTAGGGGCCATGGTCAGAGCTACTTGGCTTAAAGTAACAAAGAGGGCAGCAGAAGTAAGGCTGGACAGAGATGAGCCATTCAGAATGGACAAGTGGTGTGTGTGTGTGTGTGTGTGTGTGGCTGATTAGCAGTGCTGGGCAGATGTTAGACTCAGATTTGTGGTTGTTTGCTTGGTTAGTTTTGTCTAAAGGCTTATTCTACTTGAAAGTCAGAATTAGGGAGAGACAGATCTACTACCTATTCATTCTCCAATAGCTGCAACAGCTGAGCTGGTCCAAAGCCAGGGATTTCTTCCAGGACTCCCGTGTGCATTCAGGCGCCCAAAGTCTTGGGCTATCCTCTGCTTCTCTCCAAAGCTTATGGACATGGAACAGCCAGTATTAGAATCAGTACCCATAGGGGATGCCAGTACCACAGGTGGAGGATCAGTTAGCAACACAACCGCATCAGCCTCAGAACTGTGGCTCGGAATCCTTTGTGACATCAACCTGATCAGTGCTCTGACCAGGGTGTCTAAGGGCCTCATTGCTTCAAGGCTGATTCAAACAGGCTGGCCACAGCAGCATCTAGGACTCAACGGTGGAATCAGAAATGCTTGGAGGGAGAGGTGAACATTTGGACAGTGGTCAGGACACTGGGCTGGGATGCCTGCATCCCACATCCTGGTGCCTGAGTGAGTCCTGGCTCTTC